TCATTTTCTAATTTCGCATGGAAAATGTCGGCTAGAATGAGATCTAATGGTGACCCCGTTGCCACACCGTCGATGAGATAGACTAACTCTACGAATATAGATTTTGTTTGTCCTGTAACAAACACGCCGTACAATCTATTCGCATAGCGCTATTCTACTACGTCATCTTCTGGATGCAGAACACAGGAGATTGATGTCAACGAGGTGACTTTCAAAGTCATTTACCGCATAATAACAAATCTTAACTTCGCCATAAGAGTTGGATTACTAAATACTGCTGAGACTGTTGGGATCCATATTAAGAAGACTAATTTATACATCCAAAAGAAGTCAGTTCAGACATTATCCTTACCTTGGCCATCTAGGTTTGAATGATCCTCAATTGTCGTGGAATTTCCCTAATTTCAGTTGATATTCTATTCGCTAGTATGTCTTTTTTCTTATTATAATTATGGCATCTTTAATGAACTGTGGTAATTCCATTGTGCTCTTACTTTACAAATCGATATTATTTAAAAAACACTGATATTCTTATTGACTACTAATCTAGAATATTCTATGTACATAAACATGCACATATGCGTCGGTGGCACAGTGGTTAGGACTCTCGCCTACCATGCACATGGTCCGAGGTTCGAACCCCTGCCGACGCACACCTGATATCTATGGTCGGCCTGAAAAATTTGGGCTACCGATATCACATGCTGAAAATTCCATACCTGTACCAAAATATACGGTGTGGAATCAAGCTGTAATCAAAAATAAAATAAAAAATAAAAAAAATAAATAAAATATAACTGTAGAGCCGGAAGATAAATTTATCGAAAAGGATATTCTTCGCGCTGAATTATTTGGTGTTTTATATATGTCTGAAATATCTGAATTGGAATGTGTCTACATTCTGATATCAACTTTCAGCTAAAAATTCATTGAGGTGAAAAGTATATTCTTATATAAACTTAAGTGAACTATTTGCAACTATTACGTTTTATCACATTTGATTTGTTTCAATTTACCTTTTATTACGTAACTATCCCACTAGTATTCAACTTCGCCTATATATCGATTAAAAGGAGTAATTATATTTCTTTGATCACGAGTTGGGAGAACCATTGGTAAACTCTCTAGGAAGCTACTGGACAGTTGTTCCTCCACCCTGGTTTGGAACTCTTCAGGAGTAAGCATCCACCTACAGGGGTCCGAACCCAGGACCTTCCGGTTACAAGGCAAGCTCGCAAACTGATCAGCCATTTCAACCTGCAGCTAATTGAATCTCTGTTTTTCGACAACACAATAAGAAGACTTAGTTTATCTGAAACGCGTGTAATGTAATGTGTATTTGGGCAACACATTTTGGGCATTCTGATCACGCACACGCATGAGTACTTGTCATACACAGTTTTTATAGAAGGCACATTCAATATGTTTTGTAGCCCTAACCTGCAGAAACCGATGGGTCCTCCCTGTGTACGTGTGTCCACACATACACATGTAAATTGATAAACACAATGGGATGTGACACTATCGTTCGGATAATGTGAGGGTTTACAGGACAGCATAGTTCTCCTTTTGTTAATGAAGATAAGCTAAGCTGCATAATAAGTTCTATTCATTGCGGCCTTGAGTCTTTGTCTAGTGACCAGATTTTATTGATCACCTCTGAACGGCAAGGATATGTAAGCATCCTTTTTGGGAGCTGATTGGATTGATAGAGTTCTATGGTTGGCACTTCCGTAATGCCTAATAAATCTCAGTGGGTAATTGTTATCAAACAATATCTCAGTGAGGTGTTGTCTTCCTTCTTCAATTGTGTCGGCAGTTCATATATGGTGAACAACGCGTGTATTGGAGAGAAACTATGATAATTGAGATACTGTCCCGTCTATGTGAACTTTTTGTAGACATATCGTTTTACTGACCCATCTTCTCAGTAGGTTTTGAGTACCTCTAAAAATGGCAAGCAGTCATTCTGTTTAATGGTTTGTTAGCCTTCTTGCCTTCTATATAACTGTGTATGACAAGTACTCGTGCGTGTGTGTGTGTGTATGTGATCAGAATGTCTAAAATAAGTTACCCAAATACACATTACATTACACGTGTTTCAAATAAACTACGTCTTCTTATTCTGTTGTCGAAATTCATAAATCTCTTGATAATGATACCTGTGACAATTGATCCTTATCTTTAATATCAACTTTTGAGAGAAAAGGTTGTATGGAAATGCGAATGTACAGCTGGAGAGGAGAACAAACAAAAACGGTCGAAAAGAGAGCCTTTAAAAAGCTGAGCTAACCGATGAAGACTATGGTGGCAGCTCGTAACTCTTTACCAGTACAATTCAGTTACAGTTACCAGTCAGTGAGAATACTATCAATCCGTTTTTTTTATTCCTTTATGTTCCCAGTCAGCAACATAGAGACTCAAGTCTCTAGAGCTTTGAATTCACAGTAACAGTAATTTACTTTCACTGGCCCTACTATCCACCTACTTAGCGAGCGAGATTAAGGAATGCTTTCGTCAGCCGACAATCGAAACCCAAATCACATGAGGCGTGTTTGGCGAACATTCTACTGGTGAATCACTGACGCGTCATCAGTCGAGCAGCAGATAGTAAATACATTCAGCTGGCAAATTCTACACCTGATGAAACGCCCACACCTTGGATTCATCTATTCCTAACCCATCATTACTTTTTAAACAACTTCTTCCTCTAGTTGAATTTTCGGTTTTCCCGTCGATTGATTGGACCGAAGTGCTCAGTCTCAGGCTGACATGTCTGTTGGCTTCTTGTGCAGATGCTTCGACGATGTATGGGCATTTAATTAGTATTTAACTGGTGGATGGTGACTAGCAGTGGAATCCAGGATGCGCATTTCGTCTTATTTGGGACTACTCATCTGGATGTACCTGCGTTTCTCAGTAAGTGGTGATGTTCCCACCGTGGCTCGAACTCAGTGCCCATAGTTTCATACGCCAAAGCGTTATCCACTAGACCACTTGGGCCACGACAGCCACCTCACTCACTGAGAAATGCAGGTACATCCAGTTGACGAGTCCCAAATAAGACGAAATGCGCATCCCGGACTCCACTGCTAGTCACAATCCACCAAATAAACTTCTCCCTCTCTCTGTATTACTAATTTCTCTATATTTACTGAAACAGAAAATAGGTGATGTCGCATCCGTTAAATTAATCTCTGTAGCAAATTTTTATTTTATATAACATTTAATCGATTTTCTATTAGAAGGAAAAAGAAAGACTAGCCTGATATAACTTCATGTCGTGTTTAAAGTACTTAGTTGTGTGTGTGTGTGTGTGTAGGTGGGGTTGTGTTCCCAAGATGTTGGCTGTAATTCAAGTGAACTTTGTCTCTTTATCAAACTGTGCAGAAAAATTATTTATTCATTTATCTATAATATTTATCTACTGAAAAGAAAATGTAATTTGTCGATTGATAGACAAGTCGATGCAAGACTTTTCTTACACACAAGGGAGGTAAATTAGTTTAAACTGTCATATATATTAAGACAACACAAAGTGACAGGAAGAAATGAAGACAGAGTAAGGCAGTGGATCAAAATCATTGAAAACCTGTCAGGAGTACTGCCTAGCCTGCTGTTTCACTCTGGTTTGTGGGACTCTTCATCCGGAAGCATCTACTACAGTTTCAGCTTAGGACCACCTGTTCCATGAATTCTACCTCCTACCAAGTGGTGATTTTAGCGCGAGTGACACCAGTCAATGTCATCAGCGGACCCCTTTGAGATCCGATCCCGTGTCCTTCAGTTCTGCAGGAGGTCAGTCACGAGTAGGAATAGCTCAATGGTAACGCTTTTGACTTCAAGCATCACTGAGTAACACACGGTGCAAATCTCTGAGATTGACATGACTTTCTTTAAGATAGGAGATACGCCCTGAGGACTGGTGAGTGCCAACAATCACGAAACCCTAGGTCCTTCTGACTGCCTCTTATCATCTGATAATGTATTCGGATTATTTCTTAAGGCGTTGTTAAGAGAGAGAGAGTAAAACAACTCACTCTCTTATTGATGACAAACTACATACAAGCTTGCTACTTTGTCTTATTTTGTTGATTTTGTTGAATTTTAGCTGTCTACATATTTAAATAAATATTGAATAACACGACACGGGGTTCTCTAACCTTTATTATTTCATCCTTTTTTCCTATGTGTATTATATGTGTTATTTTACCTGTGGGTCTCGAGTGGAACATAAGGATTCAGCAGTATTTCTCCACTTTCTCTGATTCTGTACGGTCCACTTTACCTGGCCTCACGATTGCCCATAGACTATCATCATATCACCCCCCATCACACCAACCCCCTCCATATCACTGTCGAACGTACACCCAACTCGTTGTCGTTTTCCATTCGGGTTCCACTCGACTGATGACCTGGCTAATGTTCGATGTCTAACTACCGTTTCTTCAACGTTTTCTCAATCCACCTTCGTTTACTTCGGGTCTCGATTGGTTCATTTTCAGAGTCAACAGCGGAGTAAGCGGGCAGCTGTTAGTTTGAGTCTACAGTAGTAAGCTGCTGTGGAAATGCTTTTCGTGACGGTCGCCCCCGACTGTCTACCACTACAAAATATTTGATGGAATAACAACAATGATACTAATAATGAGTTCCTTCAAGGTTCCGGATACGCTTTGCTAACCGGTGATTGTCAACAAGCACAAAACCTAGAAGTCTAGACAAGGCTTCCTGCCGATTGCCTCCAACCATCTAATATCATCAAATGATACTAACAATAGTAATTTGCCATCGTCTTACTCAACTTATTATCTGTTTTATACAGAATACAAAATTTTAAAAAGAGTTGGTATCATGCTCTTTGCATGATGGTTTCATTTCCATTTCTTTCCGATGTTGGGAATTTCTGAATACATTGAGTGACACTGATTTCTACTGTATTTCTCCTAATATAAATAATAATAATTATTATTATTACTTGTTATCACTATTTCTACTTCTAGGTGAACAGTACAGTCGACATGGATTATCATATATCCCGGTTGATATCATTAGCTATTGCAGAAATACTTGGCGTCAAATCATTTCCATGTCCTCCTTTATACAGGTGAATGAGTTCATGATTATTGTTATTACTGTTATTATGCTTATTGTTAATTACCTACCTTTTTGTCTCTTTTTTATTTCTCAGTTTATTTTCAAAATAAAAAAAATTAAACTGCTTTTTTGGTTAGAAAACCATTGGAAAAACCAGTCAGGGAGTTATTGGACAGACAGCTGTTTCCCCATCCTAGTTCTATGGGACTCTTCATCAGTACGCACCCATCACAGGTGACTGCGTTCTGTCTCCCGTGTGAAATGTTATACTAGGCTGAGCAACATTGATGTTAGGATTCGGTTGGGTGCTAGGTAAGGAGGGGAAATCAATCAACGAAGTTGTGAAGTTACACCAATTGAGATGGTTAGAACGTGTGTTATGCATGTCGCCTAGTCATCGGTCACCTTCCTCGATGACGGGCAATATTAGCTATAATAGGGTTAGGCTGGAAAAAAGTCACTGATGATCAAAACAATACATGTCTTCATCAGTCAATAAAATCCACAACAGTTAGTTTAAACCAGCTACGTTTTCTGGTGTTGACTACCAGACTGTTTGAGGTCCTCGGGGCAGTAAACACCAAGGAATGCTGGAGCCAATCGGTGATATGGTTCAAAATCGTTCTCAATGGCTGACTGGCGCAGATGCATCCACTCCTTGTGACTTATAATATCCAATAAAACTATATGGTTCTTCGATATTACTATTCTTTTTACCTCATATCTCTGTTGGTCAAACCAAAACATGGGACCAGTCAATGAAATCCATAACAGCCACGTAGGAAGGTGTATACTTCTATGTTGGGGTCTTCAGGATGGTAAACACCAGTGGCTGGAAACAATCAGTGATATGGCTCTAAATCGTTCTCAGTGTCTGGCGCGGATGCATCCACTCTTTGTGACTTATAGTACCCAATGAAACTATATTGTTCCTCGTTATTACTATTCATTTTGTCTCATATCCCTGTTTACTGTCTCTATTTAGCATTTCTTCTTACTTTCTTCCCTTAATTTGTGTGCTAAATGGAGTGTAGTGACTCTGACTGATGCACATTGGTGCACAGTTCTACGTTGGAACCAGTTAGTCCGTCACTCACCACAGTGGGTCGAACCCAGTACCTCCTGATGACAAGGTTATCGAACTCGTAGACCATTCATCAACCGTTTGGACCCGATCCAATGGTCAGCCAGCCCATGAATTGTAAATTTCTCCGATTTATGACATAGCGCAACTGTCACTAGCCAATGTCTTCAGCGAGTATTTGTCCTCACACCCGACCTGCCGTACTGCACTGGTCACGACTTCCCATTAGAATCCCAGGGGACTACTACCTACTTGAATAGAATCAGTCGCTAGTGAGCATCTCATTGATTATCGAGTTTTGGTTTGTAGGAATTTGATTGATTGGGTACAGGATTTCATCTTGAGCTGACATCTGTTGGAAAACCAGCAGGAAGTCGGGATTAAAAATAATGAAATTAAGACCATGCATTGAAGAAGAATGTGTATTCCTCTAAGTCCGAATAGTCACCAAGCTTGATCTCATCCCCATCAAGCTCTCGGGTTCGATCTTTGGTGGGGTTTATAGCTACATCTCTAAATAACAATGCTTTCATGGCTGACTGCTTTTGAAGAAGGAAATATGAAGGAGCTACTTCTAACCAGAAGATCAGTTAGACAGACCGTTAATTGACTACTGGATGATGAGTTTCCTGAAGGTGTACTAGAGAATTTGTGACCACTTGGGTCTACTGTGCCAATACTGAAGTGGATGTTCGCTCATGGTAGGCATTGGTTAGGATACAGCTATAATACCACAAGTCGACATGGCCATATCTCAATCACAGCCATAAATAAGGACGGAGTGAACTGCTGTACACACGTCCTTTGTTCGACAGCCAGCCGTATATCACGTCTATGGTGTGAGTTGCCGTGTTTCAGACAAGCCTTCTGTATCCGCGCTGGAGCTGCCTGACTCAACTTCCCAATTAAGTGAAGTGGTCCACACGCTCCATCAAACACTTCACTCCCTATCTTTAAGCTAAAAGTCAATTTAGTCCAGTCCTGTGGTACCATCATACATTTTAGAATTCATGGGTCATTCACTTTCTTCCCAGTAGAGCTGAATGCTAAATGTGTTCAATCTGGTCTCCATGAAGGTCGTAGGTTCAATTCCATTATGGGTAAATTTTGTTTTGATAAAGTCTCACAGTGTTATACAGTAATGTTTACTGATGACAAGGTTTCGAGCACAGTTTATTGCCACTCATAATCATATCAAGGTAATCACACGACTTCCTAAATTCATTTATATACTTCCATTGTTTTTCTCTTGATTTTCACTTGATTTGATTGGTAACAGTATTTTCCATATTTCAGGTATCATACCTGAAATATGGAAAATACACAATGGAATTACACTCTACCACAGTGCACAAGTTTTATTCTTATATCAATGATACGTAGGTTCAATTCCTGGAAGAGTTATAGGTGAGCAGATCAGGACGAAACAGCTGTCCAGTTACTCTGCCTGGTTCCCAATGGTCTCTATAACTGATACCAATTTATGGCAAAAATCTAACAGTTGAAATGAATTCAAAATTCCCTCAAATTCTACAATCTGATTGTTAAATATTTATTGATTAAATTTACTTGGGATCGCTCACTGGTTTGTTTTATTCCTCTCTTTTTTTCCAACCCTATCTACTTATATAGTTGTAATTCATCTGAACTATTTTCTGATGGAGATAATTCCCGGCTTCAATTGGCCCTGTCCTCTGGTATGGCTGATTGTTTACTCGAAAATGTTGTATCAAAGGTTAGTTTTTTCCTCTATTGATTTTCTTCTGAAAGAGGGATAAATAGTAATGTGTATAAGTAGTTAGATACCACTGGACGACTGTTTCTGTCTGTCTGTCTGTCAGTGGTGGTAGTGGTGGTTTGGACTGATTCAGTTCTATGAGCTGAACACTTGATGATCTCGGCCTCAAACAAGCGAAACAGCTGCCTTGGTGCTTAGATCACCCCCAATCTAGTTGGTGTTGGCAAAACCTACTTGGTTGCTTGATGTGAGTGGTATGCAACTACTTATATTGATCTGTCAGTAGTATATAACGCCAAGCAATTTTACTTGATTTCTTGATTTCCATTTATGGTATGAAAAAGATCGCACGTATATTGCAGTAATCTAGTTAATTTCCGTTCTCAAATAGAGATGGCGGTAAAATTCTACCTCCTCGATCCATTCTGGTTTTGTTAGTTGAATGGGGAGGGGGTTGATTGATCGTTACAGGACTGATTACTAATGGAATTACAGTTCAAGAAAGATGCATAAGTTATAATGAGCATAAAGAATGTAATACTAAATTATTATTATTATTATTATATCCTTTAATTCCTAGAGGAACATAGGGCTTCAGCCACGCGTCTCCATTGCCTTCGGTTTTCTGCCAACTTTTTCACTCCGCTCCAAGTCTGCCCACATGCTTTCATTTCCTCTTCACATAACCTCGTCCAAGTCACCCTTGCACTGAAGATTAACTCGCTGCTTCCCTTTCGGGTTCCACTCGAGCGATGGCTTGTCTAGTGATGTCACTTGATGGTTTCCTTAGTGTATGACCAATCCATCTCCATTTCTTCCTGCCTATTTGTTTCACAGTTGGTTCCTGGTTGGTTCGCTCCCAGAGATCTTTGTTGCTGATCTTTTCTCACCTGCCATCTAATCTTGAGTATCGAGCGAAGACAACTGTTAATGAAGGTCTGAAGTTTGTTTGAGATGCTCTTCATGATGCGCCAAGTCTCTGATCCGTATAGTGAGTAGCACTGACTTCACATTGGAGTTGAAAATCTGGATGTTATTTATGATGCTGAGTGATGTTGACCTCCACACAGACTTGATGTGAATAATTAAAGCTTGTCTTGCTTTTCCGATTCTGGCTTTGATATCTTCGTCAGTTCCGTCCGCCTGTGTTTGAAACGATGCTTCCCCGGTAGGTAGGTGAAGGAGGTTGTCTCCTTCAGGTTCCTAGAATAACAAATAAAATAAAGGGGAATTTATGCAGCTAATTATGGATAGTTCCATATTTGTACGGTGTGGAATCAAGCTATAATCAAAATAAAGTAAAACGTCGATTGATGATGGCCAAAGTAAGGAAGGAAAGTGTCTGAACCAACCTCTTCTTCTTCTTCTTCTTTTGGATGCATAAGTTAGACTTCTTCTGAATATGGATTCCAATGGCTTCAACTGCAGTATGCAACAGACGAACGAACTCGTATGGTAAGATTAAGATTAATTAGAATATACGGTAGATAACTTTGGAAGTCACTGACTTTATTAACACTAATTTTGTGTTCATTATGAATGGGCTTTTTTTGTTTCTGCCTTGCTTAACCATTCACGATAGTGGGGTAATTGAAAATCTGACGATAAACACGCCTAATCCTACAGGCTAACTAATTCCGTATCTTGGCAGTCGATTTGACAGATACACAATAGAAGAAACAAAATTTAGTGGTATATAGTAAGAGGGGGGGAGGGGTAATTGGTGGGTGGTAACTAGCAGTATAATCTATCAGGATACGCATTTCTTCCTATTTTTGGGACTCATCCACCAGCTGAATGTACCTGCATTCCCCAGTGAGTCAGTGATGGTATTCCCAGTGATCATAGTTTCAAACTTCAAAGCATTATCCACTAGGCCACTTGGGCCACGACAGCCACCTCATGTGCGCTAGTCACTACCCCCTCCCCCCGCCCGCCCCAATTAACTTCTAGTTACATGACGAGCCAGCCACCGTTGAAGCATCTGCACAAGGAGGGGCCGACACGTCAACTTGAGATCGAGCAATTCGGTCCAATCAATCGATGGAGGGAAGTCTAAATTTGAATTCAATAAATAAGAGGGCTAGTGTTGAAGAGACAGCATACCTCAACAGCAGTAGCATTAAAAATGCTTTTGTCCCCTTTTTTTACTGCATTCTTTATATCAGTGATATCCAATCGAAGACCTAGTCAGTTTTATTGTTCTCTAATTTCACTTATTATTATCTATTAGAAAAGTATTGTTGAACAAATAAACAAATAAATAAAAAATAAATAGGACTTTCTTTTTAACAATGTCATTGAATAATTAATGAGTAATGAAGTTTAAACGTCTTTCAAGAAGGATCATTTTTCATATTAATCAAAGTAGAGTCATTCAACTGAGTGCTACTCAACTTACTATTTTAATGCTTCTGATTACTAGACACCTTAAAATTGTCTGTGATGTGAAACACCCCACCCTCGCCTCTCCCTCTCACTCACTCACTCACTCACTCAGTTACCCACCCACCCACCTCACATACATATACACACAAAAAAGTCATTGTTAATATTGAAGAGGTGTTCCAGTTCCTTGATAGATAGATAGATAGACAGACGTGTTGTTTGTTGGTTTCAGTCTCTCTGCCTCCCTCCACACACACACAAACACTTACACACGCTATAATGACGTAATTTGATATCTTCTCAATCATCTTGAATTCATGTTTTATTGATTTTGATTGTGACTAATATATTTACATGTATGCATTGTGTTTGTGGGGACTGAATGATGTCAACTACGAATGAAGGCCTCCTTCTTTACATTAAAATAAAAAAGAATTAACATGCACTGTTGGCACTCATCGGTGAGACGCCTATCTTCAACTTCGAATCCGTTTTACCCACTACTGTGTTCATTCCCTTTGAGGTTGCAGATAAACGCTTAGCTGATAAGCACAAAACCTAAGGCCTCAACAGACCTTTGTGCCGATTGCCTCAAACCATCTAATAACAATGAATTAGAGTGCGGTGCGATGGCGAGCCACCTTTTCCGCTACCATAATCGACTCGTTATGGTTTGAAAATGCAGGGAACCCATCTCTGCATTCTACTGTATGGCATAGTAGTTGTCTGGGAGTGCAGCTATGCCTAACTTCTACAGTATTTAAATTCCTCCAAAGGAAAATATACAAACAAACTGATAGAGTTGCCATGGGATCACTAATATCCTCGGTTGTAGCAGATATATTCATGGATAGGTGGGAAAAGATAGCGATTGAAACGTTCACCCCCACCCACCCCAAAAGTATGGTGAAGGTATGTAGATGACACATTCACTGTACTTAGAACACAAGATATAGATAGATTTTTCGTCAACATTAACCCGAAGGTAGATGCAATCCGATTCACTAATGAATTGGAAGGTCCGGAAGGGGAGCTTCCAATGTTAGATTGCAGCGTAAAAAGGAAAGAAGATGGGAAGTTAAACACACACTAGTGTGTGTTTACAGGAAACCCACACATTCAAACAGATATTTGGACTTCCGATCATCCCATCCTATGTCAGTAAAAGCAGGATTGGTGAAATGTTTAAGTGACAATAGAGCACAAAAGCTAATTAGTATCAATTAAAATCTAAGACAAGAAGTGATACACAAAAAAGGAACCTTGAAACTTTATAATTACCCGGATAAATTAGTCAGGAAATATGTAAGGAAATGTAAAAATAAGATAAATAACGATAGTAGCGATAGTGATAATAATAATAATAATAAAAATAATATTAATGACGACACCAACAATAAGGAATCTAAATCATCAGTAGTAATGCCATACAAGGAAACGACCCCGGAAACCACCTTACGCATTCTTAACAAGGCAGGCAGGAATAAAAGTGGCTGGAATTCAAACCACCCACAAACTCAATTAGAAACAAGCTTTGTCGGTTACATGATCAATCCTGTGGAGCCTGTAAAACAAAACAATTCAGTTTATCTAATACCCTGCCTGCTGGATTGATTGTCAGGTCAAATACACAGGTCAGAGTAGTAGAACAGGCGCAGTGAGTCAGACTAGCCGAACATAAAAACCTAGCGAAATCTAGATTATTTGACCGGAATAAGATAAGAAATCGAGAGAATAGTTCAGCTATACCACTCACTACATGCAATTACACACAACCATACAATAAGATGGGATGGGATAGGATGACAGTTTTAAAATCTAATATAACAGCAGGGTGGAGGGAGAGATTGATTGCTTGTCGAATCAACTGAGGAGAACACGTGTAATAGGAATGATTCAACATCTGTCCAGCCAGATATCTGGAAAATTCAACTACACCTATGATGACAAATCGGAGAGGACAAAGAAAACTCAGCTCATGATGAAATCCTCCATGCAATCAAACAAAATCCCTACAAAACCAACACTTGAAAATTAATCTGATGCTTACTAGTGACTGGCCCTATTCAAGTATTTAACCTGGGGTTCTAGTAGGAGGCCGTGACCAGTAGGGTACAGCAGGTTGAAGATGAGGCAGTAACTCATCGAAGAAGACATTGCGAAGTGGTCGCGCTATATCGTGAATTCGCAGAAGTTAGAATTCAAGGACCATTAGATCGGGTCCCAGTGGCTCAACGGTCTACGAGCTCGCCTTGTAACCAGAAGGTCCTGAGTTCGAACCCTGGCGGTGGGTGCGTAACGCTGAAGAGTCCCAAACTAGGACGAAACAGCTGTTCAGTACTTCCAGGTTCTCCAGTGGTTCTCTAACTGATGTCAGCTCATGATGAAATCCTCCACGCAAAACTATAAAACTCAAGTTACGAAGTCGTGTGATTACAATTGATATGATTATGAACAATAAATTGTATTTGAAACGTTCTCCAGTAAATAATACTGTTTCACCGTGTGATACATCTAATAAACAAACTAATATGTCTAAAACTTCCTTGAGATAAACGCACAGTCATGAAACTCTTCGAAAACAGGAAAAATTTGATCATTCCTAATTGATTGTGTGTGTGTGTGTGTGTAGTGCAGTCCCAGTAAAAAGTGAACACTTAGATTCAACTAGAATATACCTGAAATGGTAGGGTCAAAAACCCAACCCACAACAATCACACAGCAACACTTCTCACAAACAGTCCAAGGTCAGAATCACCTTCAGTCGATCAAATAAAATCCCCATTGTATAACAACACGTTATCAATATCATCACCACACAAAACCATAAAGAGAAGCATTACAATTATAGATTGAACAGGAATAAGGACAAATAATAAAGAATAAGCCAACCTATGATATAGAACTGTCAGAGAAAACGGATAATAACAACACATTTACAAGAGTTGGTTCGTTAGGATTAAATTTGTTTCTACCAGTTTGACCGTGGATTTATATCGGTTAGAGAACCATTGAAAACGAGCAGGGAGTACTGGTATTCATCGACAGTACGCACCCACTGTCAGGGTTCGAACCCAGGAATTGGTAAAAGTTAGGATTCATGGGCTAGCCATTGAATCGTATTGGGTCCTAGTAACTGGGTTTGACTCCCTGTGGTGGGTACGTACTGCTGATGATCCTCAAACTAGGATGAAACAGCTGTCCAGTACTCCCAGCTAGTTTTCAATGGTTTTTTAGCTGAAATTTAGCTGAAACATCCAAAAAGGTATAAATATTATGACTGCATCATTCAAGAGAAGAACTTCCCAAATACTTTTTCTCTCACACGTCTACCTCAGGGATCATTGACTGATAGTATTTGATTTGGCCTGCATCAGCATCGACACCTAGACGACGCCTGACATTGGCCACTCCCTGCGCAATATTTTCACTTCATCTCTATATACTACTTTTATGATCACCACTAGTAGTATTATTGGTATTGACAGTTTGATTATCGAACGATATTAAAGATTGGATGGTTTAAAAGGGTAAGGAACTTGGAATTCTGCGAACAAACTAACCAGAAATCTATTGAGCCTGAGTAGGAAGCGACGAGGGTTACATGAAGAAAATCATGTGAGAAGAGAATAAAAGCTCGTGCAGACTTGTGAAGTCAGTTGAAGAGAGCTGTAAAGGACGAAGTGAAACGGAGTTGTGCCACTGAAGCCCTCTCTGTGTTCCATTCGGAAATATTAATAATAATAATACTAACCTTATTGTTATTTATTATTGTTCCCTTGGGATCCTAGTAGAACATACGGCTTCAACTGCACGTCTCCACTCGCCACTTCTATCTGTCTCCTGTTGTACCTTTCACCTGCATCAATGTTAGTCAATACTGTTTCAACTCTTCACATGACCTCCTCCATGTCACCCTTACATCGGAGTTTCACTCTCCGCTTCCCTTTCGGCCTGGTTCCACTCGAGTGATGGCCTGACGCTTGCGCGATGTCACCCAGTGGCCTTCTCAGCGAGTGTCCAATCTATCTTTCTTCACTTTCTCCTGCATATTTGTTGGTTGGCGATTGGTTCTTGTTTTGTTTGTTCCCAGCCATAGTTTCTTGTTGGTCATTCTTTCCGGCCCGGTCATCTGATCATCAGTATAGACCGAAGACAGTTGTTGTTGATAAAGGTCTGCAACTGGCTGTTGGAAATATTCTTTGTGACCCACCCCCCAAGTTTCTGGTCCGAATAAAAGAAGAACTGACTGACTTGACATTGTTTGTATTGAAAATCCGACCGAATTTTGTTGTTGATGTTGAGTGACGAAGATTTCCAGATCGATTTCACGTTGATGAATGTGTGTGTTTCTCGTCTTCCCGATTCTCGCTCGATTTGACATCCTCGTCCGTTCCGACTGCTTGTAGTTGAAACAATGCTCCCTAGATAAGTGAATGAAGTAACCTCTTTCAAATCCCTCCCGTTGATGGTGGTCGGTGCCGGACGTGCTATCGCTCTTGTTGCTGCTGTTGGTTGGTTATTTTCATAACCTCCGTCTTGTCTATGTTCACATGGAGTCGATCGGTTTTCGCTTATAAGTCTTCGATTTTGTGTGACATCAAACATTAATCATCCACGCGCGAAATCCAGGTCTTCTAGGTTCTTCACGTTGGTCGGTCCAGGATATCTCCCCTGTCTTCTCGTTTCCCACTCACTGTCTGACGCATAATCCAGTCAGTCCACCACAATTAAGAATATCATTCATTGGAGATAATAAGCCAGCACCCTTGTCTGACTTCTGTGACTCACTGAGTTTTCCGTTGTGGATCACTTGACATATCCCGTTGTCGTACAGCCGTTGAATAAGGTTGATGAATTTTCGTGGTAGGCCGTAGTACTCGAATAGTTTCCAAATTTACTTCGTGGTCAACGCTGTCTGTCGAAGGCCTTCTCAAAGTCTATAAAGTTGAGGTAGAGGTTTGATTGCCATTCCATGCTTTATTCTGTGATGATGATGATGATGCGTAGAGTTGCAATTTAGTCAGAACATGATTCGCCTCTCCTGAATCCAGCTTGTTCTGGTCGGCGGAGATATGTATCCATTGCATCCTTTATTCTCTCTCGGACGCTATAGTCATTATTATCTTAGAAACTTTTGGTAAAATTTTTCTCCATTCATTTTATATTTCTTTTTTTAACAGGATTCTAAATCTTTCACTGATACTTGTGGTAATGGTCATATTGATCGTGGTGAAGAATGTGATCCTGGTCTTGTTCGTCCAGTGTCGTCGACGACAACAAACTCTACAAATAATCCAATGTCATGTTGTAATCTTGATACATGTTTAGCTGCTGTATGGGCTGTTTGTACACATGGCCCGTGTTGTCATCAATGTCGACTAAAGCCAAAAGGTAGTGTATGCCGTCCAGCGTTTGATCAATGCGATCTCCCGGAATTCTGTACCGGTACACAAGTAAGCTTCTTTTTTGATTAAAAGAATCCCGCTTTTTTTTAAAATTATGGCTCGATTTCACACAGTATTTTTGGCACAACTATGGAATTTTCAGCATTTCATACAGGTAGCCAACCATTGATACCAGGTGTGCTTCGGTCGGGGATCGAACCCCGGACCATGTGCAAGGTCGTCGAGCGTCCTAACTGATGTGCCACCGACGCACTCCTCTTCATAGACTCATTTGTGGCTATGAATTGTCTAAAACAATCTATAAAGTCACTGGAAAGTCTTTGGGTTCGAGTCTCGGGTGGGTGGTATTGATGAAGAGGCCTAAAATAGGACGGAACATCTGACTGTCTAGTACTCCCTCTTTGGGGGTTTTCAATGGTTCTTTCACTCACTAACTGACTGACTGATTGGTTTTAACATGGAACTACTTTGCTTAGATGCGCTGCAGTTCGAGTTGCCACTCTCTTTCCATGTAGTACACAAAACAAGAGAAGAGAGATTCAGAAGTGTGATTAAGGGAAAAAGAACAGTAATATGGAAGAACAATAGAATTTTATGGGATATGGCTGACAAATCACAAAGGGTGAATAAATATGCTCCAGCCATTTACAGTGATTTTGATTCATATAACCGAATATTTACAGCAGCTTTCATTGGCTCTTACCATCCCGAGGACCCCAACCAGATTGGCGGTTTGCACCTCCCTACGTGTCTAGCAGGCTTAAACTAACTGTTATGCATTTCATTGATTGATAAGGTCATGTTTTGGTTTGACTACCAGTGTCTCTTTTCCAGCCTGACCCTATGTCAGCTAACCATTGGCCGCCATCGAGGAAGGCGATAGCTAGGCTAGGCATGCGTAACACATGTCCTAACCATCTCTCTCTCAGTTGATGTAACCACAACCACCTGGTCGATTAATTTTCTCACCTTCCCCAACACTCAATGCCTAGCCTCAATATCATCCACATTAATATACCATCTAACACACCCGGGAGATGGAACGTAGGCACTTATGATCAAAGACAGCAGCTAGCCCGGCTCTTCATGTCTTCCACTTTCATTGGCATTAACAATTCATAATGCATAGTGCATAACTCTGTGTACAAAAACAATTTGTACGATCTCTTTTTGATTACCATTGTCTTGAATTTATTATGTAATTCACTCAAAAATTGTTATCCTTCTCTATTCCGTGTTCCATTTTTGTTCTGTTTCATTCTACTTAATGTTATGTCATATTCTAACATTGTCTTATCTAGTCTACTATTTTGACAAAATTTCACTCATCCATACATATCCTCATCATATTGTATTCACATTTCCGAATGTACTTTATTCCCCGATCATCTATTTCACAAATGTCGTCTATTGAACTTTGTGTTGACCTCTATTTAATTATTTATTCCATTTGTGAGTCATAATCATGTACACGAATATGATCGCCCTTCAGTATTTCCGCTCTCTGTCCACACAGAAGAATTTTCTATTGTAATTCAGGAGCAACAGTTTTTTTATCGGTAGAATGCTCACCGATCACGCATTTGATTCGGGGTTCGATCCCCGGTTGACGCCGCACTCGTTTACTTTGCTAAACCAGTAATAAGACTGATGAAGAGTGAAGTTTGGGCTGTGCATGAGGCTAGCAGTAACCTCATCCTGTAAAAAAATAAACACCGCTGCTAACGAAACTTCAAGCCTCTAACTTGAAGCCCTCCCTATGTTCCACTGGGAACGTAAAGGGACCAAAAAAAATCTATCTTCACTACAAATTCTCCCGACCAGTATTGAGACAGAAAGAGCGGATTAAATTCTTTTTTCTGTAAAAACTGGTCAGTTCTCCCGTGTCCACATTGATTTTCTGTCAACAAATCTTTTCAAAGACTCCATCGACTGTCCTTGTAATTAGTATCACATCCATGAAAGATATTTTTCCATCAATGTTTCTTTTTCTAAGGGGAATCAGAGATAAACAGGAGGTGACTGTCATTGAATATTTTAGAATGTTTGTCATCTAAATCGCATTTTATTTTTTTGTTCTTTTTATTTATTGATTGATTGATAAGTCAGCTTTTTGAAACTGAGATGTATTCATTGTTTGCTTTACTTATCATTTTTTTTAAAATAAAAAATTTAGCCATCATGTCCAATAGATTTATACTTGGAAAATGGTTCTCCGTGTTTAACACGTTCAGTACAATCACTGCTAGGTGTTGCTCCGGTTTTATCTTCCTCGACGTCGACGTCGAGTTCTTCGTCTTCGTCCTCCTCCTCGTCATCATCTTCAGATGCGGCCAATCCACAGAATTCATCGATAGTAAATCAACATATCATTGAAAATCATAAATCACTATGCTATCAAGGTAGATGTCCAACACGGCATAGTCAATGTCAAATGATTTGGGGACAGACGGCTACAGAGGCAGCTGATTATTGTTTCCATTTGCATAATACTAAAACAGATGGAGCTTGTGGTGTACGAGGGAAAAATTGTGCTCCAGAGTGAGTTTGTTTCCTTTTCTCCGTTTTCTTGTTGATTACTTTTTCATTTTTTTTGAAAAAACCATTGAAAATCATCAAGGAGAGAGTGCTTGAGACTCGTCGGCGATACTCACTCATCCATCAAATGGGTTCGAACCTAGCACCTTACTGTTAAAAGGCAAGCCAAAATCATGAATTGGTAGAAGTTAGAATTCATAAGCTCTTGCCATTGATTAAGGAGTCGAAGCCCAGTAGCTCTGAATCGTCTACAAGCTTACCTTGTAACCGGTAGATCCCAGGTATGTAGTTCTGGTGAGTCGCAGACTAGAACGGAACAGCTCTCCAGTATTGACTGCCTGGTTTTTTGTTTTTCATGGGACTCTTCAACCCATCCACCCACAAAGGATCGAATCCAAAACCTCTCGGTTACAAGTCAAGGTCGAATATCATTCAGTCACTGGGACTGGGATTTGATGGCCAGCCAATCAATCTCAACTTCTACCAATTCGCAACATATATAAATAGACACTGCCATAAAAGAACCATCGATCTCTTTGCTGACTTGATAGAACTCACTGGACCCCATGAATTCTGACTAGAACTCCAGGAGACTTCCTGTATATACAACTAGTTACTACAGAGGACCAGATTCCTTTTAAAAAGTCAGTTTGACCATGCATGAATTGATATCAGTTAGAGTACCGTTAAAAACCGACAAGCAGCAGCACCACTGGACACCTCGCTGTCTCGTCCAAGTTTCGGACTCATCGACGGTGGATGCGTACTGCCGAAACTTGAAACAAATCGATTCCTTACAAACTAACTCTTGAAAATGATAATTAATTCGAATAATTCTATAACTGATGAAGAATAAACTTGATCCATTCGTGGAATCAAGTTGATTCAGCCGATTTGAATGATTGGTTACAAGATTTCATCATGAGCTGACATGGCTTAGAGAACCATTGGAAAACCAGGAAGGGAGTACTGGATAGCTGTTTCGTCCCACTTTGGGACTCCTAATCAGTACGCGTCCACCATGGGGATTCTAACCCAGGACCTTCTGGTTACTAGGCGAGTTAGCTCGTAGACCATTCATCAGCCACTGGGTCCCGATCCAATGGCCAGCCCATGAATTCTAAATTCTGCCAAACCACAAATTTGAATTTCATGGGCCATGGGATCAGGTGCCAGTGGTTGATGAATGGTCTACGAGCTAGCTCGCCTCGTAACCAGGAGATCCTGAGTTAGATCCCCCATGGTGGGCGCGTACTGATTAGGAGTCCCAAAGTGGGACGAAACGGCTGTCCAGTACACCCTGGCTGGTTTTCCAATGGTTCTCTAAACCATGTCGTCTCATAATGAATTCCTGTAATCCTTGATTCCACTGATGGCCGCCACCCCTCCACAACATAGTACTTTTCTGCATTTTCACAATCTCGTATACACCATGGTTGTGCGTGTTCCTTCACATTTTTTTGTTATGTAACTTTCAAATGTATATTTATTTCTGTATATTTTTTCTAGACATGCAAAATGTGGACTTTTACAATGTCAAGGTGGTAAACCAAGACCAACTTCCTTAGAAGCACAATCTGGTCAACCATTTGTCACATATACAGAGCATAATGGACGTCAATTTGAATGCAAGTGAGTTCGGTTGTCCAGCTGCCTGTCCTTTAATAATACCCCTTCCCTTCCCCCCCCCTCCCCCGTTCTTCATTTTTGTCTCTTGTTCAGTATTGTTCTTATTCTATATTAGATAAGTTTATTTTAAATAGCAGACGCAGTCACGATGATGCATTATGAATAGTTGGATGACAAGGTTTCCAGTATAAATTATTACCAGCACTTATAATCATATCAATTTTAGTCACACGGCTTCACAGTTTTTTCTTATACGTATATTTTCTCTCTTTCTATCTCTCCAACTTCGCTTTGTTGTGGTTTTTGCCACTTTGCATAATGTTCAATATAGGCATCCTGCCAATCTGGGTGCGCACGTATGGTGCTCTGTTGAACCAATAAACAAAGATTCTATGATTAACCTCTCTCTCACTCTCCCTCTGTCTCCACCTAACTATATTACTTTTCATACATTTATTCCCCTTAATGAATTTGAATAAAGTCAGAACTACAGTTTTTGCAGAATAAAATGGTGCCATCATTGTTTAATTTGTTGGCTTCTCGTCAGCTACTTACAGGCCACAGTCATTATTAATAAGTATATCCACAGAAACAATTTTAACATACTTGCACAGAGTTCAATTATTAATTAATATATGCATACAGTAATTATATATATATATATATATATAATATTAAACACTATTCCGAGCAATAGTGATCATACATAATGGAAACTTTCGGCATTACGTGTTCAGATGAAAGAGAGATGAAAGATGGCACATTTTAGTGTACAACAATGAAAGTCATGCTTCACACACTTACTCAGATTTCTCAATGACACACACACTAATATTGAGTTTACTATGGAATATTAAAGTGAAATAAAGTACCACTTCCTCGATATTGCCATGCAACACCTAGAAAACGGTAGTCTTCAAAAGTCATTTTATCGAAAGCTTGAAAATTCCCATTCAGTCATAGAAAAGAAAAGGTGTTCAGCAAAGAGTTACTCTTTTCGGCGATATCATTCTCAAGCTGTACAAATCGCAAATTTATAGTAATTTGTCTTGGCAACAAAAGGAATATTTCCAAAGATGTGTTAATGCAATTGTTAGTTTTTGACAAACAGATTACGTAATTTTGAAGGCGTTAATCGGTTAGAAACCAAAATAAAGTTACAAAAGTAGGTTGGGTGACGTAATCTAATTGATAGGGTTCAATGAAAAAGTGAATGAGAGTCAAGTTAATAAGCTGAGTAGAATTCACTTAAAAATAAACGAAAATCGAGTTAGCAACGGTCGTCATGAGCGTACAGATTTAATAGAGGGTGGGGGTAGAAAATAATGCAATTAAGAAATAGACAAACAAAGAAGAAAGAGGTAAGACAAAATTACGTATTTCGTGTTAAGATAGATCAGGACCATTGTAGATTTAGTGACTGAACAAACTTCTTTTGCATGCAGAGTTCAGGATTCAATATGTGAATTGCCATTGCTTCTGCAGTTTGAAGAAGTTTAATTCGTACTCTTTTGGCAAGATTCCTACGTATTGTGTAGATAACTGAGAAGTTGTTTTGTGGGTTTGCTTGGTGTCCGGATTCGATCAAGTGTTCTAGGATAGAGCTGTGGCGGGGGATCTTCTTTCTCCTTTATAAAACCATGAAGGTAAGTGTTCGCTGATTCGTTTGGATAGCAAACGCTGGGTACGGCCGACATACCTAGCTCCACATGAGAAGGTGAATTGGTAGATGCACATTGATGAGGCCCCCAGTGGAAGCTTATCCTTCACGTTCGTGCGAATCATTGGTTTCGTAGAGAAAGTTAGTCTGAGTTCCGCTGCGAAGAAGGTTTTCAGTGAACTGCACAGGCGGAAAGCCTAGTTGGAAAGGAAAATACTTACATTTTAATAGTTTTTGTCCAAATAGCTTTGAACGTGGACTAGTCAAGACTCTGTACTACAGAGCGAGGAGAATATGCTCTATTGAGGAAAAATTTATGTTTCTCGAAAAGATGGGGAAAAGCAACTATTATCCTCAAAGGTATATTAACAAGTACGGAAGATCTGAAGGCTCAAGTATCGAGCAAATCACAGTGGAGTAAAAGTCCGTTTATATTCAACTTGATAATTGTAGCAATTGTCAACAGAAGACTGAGTACATCAGTAGCCAGAACCGATCCTGCAGCTAATCTTGTTTCCGTCTATTGAACAACTTACTCTTTGGTGCAATCAAAAATCGATAGATATCCTTCTCATGTTAACTCCAACTGTGTATACAAATTCACGTGTATCTGCGGGAGCAGTTATATGGGAAGGACAGAAAGAACAAATGCATATCTACGATTTTATGAACATATACCAAAAAGCTTATGTCTAAAGGGAACAAATGCTTTAAACAGTGCCATCCATCACCAAGCATCTCCTTGACACGGGTCATAAAGTGGACGTCGAAAAGTCGTTCAAAATTATCCATAGACAAAAGAGCTCAGTTCTCCTCAAGTTTGCTGAAGTCATTTCCATCAAGCGCCTGAAACCTGATTTGTACGTCCAGAAAGAAACGGTTATCAGGGTTTCCTTACCCTGCCTGGTAGCTGAATGCGAAATGCTGAAAAGTTTCCATTGTGTTTGATTATTATTGTTCGGAATAGTGTTTAATGTTATATATATATATATATATATACAAATTAATATGAATAACAAAATAGTGATAAAAGCTAATCTTGAAATTATACCCAAGATAAAAAGCAGGAGAGATCGAGGAGTTTCTTTTGGGTATGCATAAATCAGGGTTTTCCATCGGAATCCCTAATGCCTCGGTAATGCAAAGTATACGGAAGGATATCGTCTTCGGGAGGCTTCTTTTGACTTCGAATGAATTCTCTCTTTGCATTGTGAGTAGTGACTAGTGTTGAGTAGATTATATGTTCAATATGAGCACTATTTATTGATCCATTGTCACCTTTTTGTAGCTAAGGCGGGGGGGGGGGCGGGGTAATGTTCGTTGACTCCTTTAGATAAAAAAACAGCACGCAATTGAACGACCTATATGTTTCTATCTCGCTTCACAGTTTCAAAATCGTATCGAATTTTGGACATATCATAAGAAATGAATGATTCTCTCTTTTTGTCCTACTTATATGTGAGAAACATAATTCTTTCACTGTAGTTGACTTTGTGTAAATAAACAAATCTCTTCTGTCATTTTATGAATCTGTCCATCTGTCCACCTGTCATACTCCAATATATGACTGACTGACTGCATGGATAGTGTTTTATTCTGTGATGAAACAGACCCACCTACTGGTTACCTGCTGAGCCTATGATTGTTTATTGTCTTATTGATGCATTTAATTCTTATTCAATACCTTTGTCAATCTTATTCACTTGTCACTTTCTGACTTAATCTTATCATATATGTATGTGTGTAAATATATACATAAATACACAGGTTGAAAAGTCTACTTAAGTATGTGATAAATTGACATAAATGAAGAAAATAGTGTTTTACAGGATTTCATCTTAAGCTGACATTGGTTAGACAACCATTGGAAAACACTCCAGGGAGAACTGGACAGCTCTTTCCACGTCCTAGTTTGGGACTCCTCATCAGTACGCACCCCCTTTGCCACAGGGGTTCGAACCCAGGACCTTCTGGTTACAAGGCTAGCGAGCTCGTATACCATTAAGCCACTGGAATCCAATCAATTGCCCAGCCAGCTTATGAATTCTAACTTCTGTCAATTCATGACATTGGTTAGGGATGCGTGCTGCTGAAGAGTTTCAAACTAGGACGAAACAGCTGTCCAATACACCCAGGTTTTCCAATGGTTCCCTAACCAATGTCAGCTCATGATGAAATCCTGTAACCAATCAACCAATTCCCTACAAACCAACACTTAAATATTAAAGATAGTGTTTTCTCTGAATTCGAGGAATGCTGGCTATCGAATGGCCCTATTCACGTAGGCAGAAGTTCCCTGGGTTCTAGTAAGAAGTTGTGACCGACTAGTGGGGTACAGCAGGTCGTCAGGTTTGAGGATAAATACTCGCCAGACGTGACATGGGTGGCTGCTGCCAGTCGCAGAAGGTGGAATTCATGGGCTGGCCATTGGATTGGGTCCCAGAGATTGATGAAGCGTCTACGAGCTAGCTCGCCTTGTCAGCATAAGATCCTAAGTCCAAACCCTAGTGGTCCCAAACTAGGATAGGGAAAACAGCTGTCAAGTACTCCCTACTTTTTGGTTTCCGATGGTTATTACTTTCCACCTCCCCACACCATGGAAGTTGATTTTTATTCTTGGATAACCTGAAACATAAGAATGGCCAGGAGTGTTTTTGATGACCTCAGAGTCCAGAAGAGAAGTGCCTGTTTGTGAAGCAGTTCAAGTCGCCACACTCCACTCCTTGTAGCACACAAAACAACAGAAGAAAGTAGAAGAAATGCATAACAGAGACAATTAACAGCGTAATGAGATAAAAGGAGTAGTAATAAAGAAGAGATATATAATTTCACTGGAAATCATAAGTCACAAGGTGTGGATGCATCTGCGCCAGCCATTGAGAACGATTTTGAGCCATATCACCAATTGTTTCCAACCATTTATTTTTACTGTCCCGAGGACCCTAACCAGTCAGGAAGTCTACATTTTCCTACGTGACTGGCTTAAACTAATTGTTGTGCATTTCATTGACTGATGAAGCTATGTTTTGGTTTGACCGCCGCTACCTCTTTTTCAACCTGACCCTATGTCAGCTAACATCATTGCCTGTTGTCGAGGAAGGCGATGACTAGGCATATGTAACACATGTTCTTACCATCTCACTCGGTGTATTTCACAGCCCCGTCTATCGATTTCCCCTCTTCAACCAGCACTCGACCGATATCTATGCTCAATATTGCTCACCTTATGATGCCACTTCACACAGGAGATATAACTCAGGCACCTATGATCAAAGATAGCAAGTCTTTTCATGTCTTCCACTTTCAATGGCCAGGTTTCACAGCCATAAAGAAGGACGTAGTG